AGCCCTGTCAGTACCAGCTCTCTTATACAGAGCCCCTTCTTTGGTGGTAAACAAAAATCAGCTTCAAGTGGTTTTTCTTATCAATAACTACTTGAATATTGCAGGGTTTTTCCTTCTCTGTCTGAATAGTAATACTGTCTAGGCAAAGAACAGGAGACTGAGAGCCAACAGAATAGCCCAGGGAGTGAATTCCCCAAAGGCTACAAGCTCCTCTCTGTGCCCACGTGTAAATACAGCAAGGGAGACTCAGCTAAGTGAGTGACCAAGAGTTTCTAACTCACAGTCTTTAAGAAATCTCTTTTGATAAGCTAATTGGGTTTGCTGAATATCCACCACTTGAAAGCTCAGAAGAACAGATTACACAAACATGTTCTAGGAACTGTACAGGTATTTCATAGGGAAGAATTTTCTGTGGGGACTTCCCCTGATGTTACAAGACCTATGGGACAGATCCTTGGCTGGGGTGAGTTGCTATCCCACCACCTTGACTTCAGCAGCATTGAAACACTAACCTAGCATTTCTTCTTGTCCAAACTCCCCTTTCCTAAAATACAGCTGCTAAATATTAACATGAAAAACAATATTTGGGAGATTAAATTGAACAGTTATTTCAGAATGTTTCACATTGCTTCAGGAAACTATGAAGCTGCTTTTACAGTTCTCCTTTAGCAGCTCTTCTAGCTGTGCTGCTGTTATGGTAAAGTTTGTGAGTGGAAATACAGAGGGTGACACAGCATTTTTTTAGAAATATGTCTTCATAACAGTGATGAAGCTTTTATTCTCTCTACCAGTTGTAAATAGTCAAACTTCTAGCAATCTACTCAAACCTTTAGAGCTAGCTTTACTGTGCAGTTATGGTACATGTACCCAGGCAAAGCTTCCCAGCAGAAAAAAATGGGAAAAAGATTTGTATTTTGTTTTATTTTTTCTTTTTTTTTAATATTTATTTTGCAGTTGATCTCTTTCATCCTTTCCAGAATTCAGTTGTCATGGATTTTTAAATTTGCATCACTTCTGTTATTTGTTCAGTGTTTTACCTTTATGAATAATTATTTTTCTACTTTTATTTTTCCTGTCCTATACTATTGAAATATTGAAAAAAAAATATTAAAAGCCTGTAAATTTTATTTGTTGCTGGAATATTTCTATAAAATAAGCCAGAAAATTGCACTTTAGGTAAAATTGCTACCAATAAGAACAAATAATCTTTTCAGACATGCAAGAGTCACAAAGGAGCTAACATTTTTTGAAGACAACCTCATTGGCAATTTTGGTAGGTACATATCAGGAATAATTTCTCAACAGCAGGAAACTGACTAAAAAAATAGTTAATCCCCTCATTGCAGAGTATTTGAAAGGCATGACTGAAGAATGAACGTCCCACCCCCTTCTAATTAATTGGACTAGTCATGTATTAATTAAGAACATGCATAAGCCTTTGTGAGATGTAGATCACATGGGTAAGAAAAGTCTGGGAAGACTGGTCCTTCATTATGGACAGAACTCATTTACTGCAACTTAAACACCAGTTAGAATCTATTAAATTACTTCACTCTCCTGCTGAAAAGTTGAAATAAGAACAAAGTCACTAATGAGAATAAAAATGAACTCCTATTATTCATTTACTTCACAGAGGTTGAGGCAGAAATTCTAGGGAAAGGAATTCTGTGTTCAGTTCTGGGCCCCTCATTAGAAGAGGGGCTGGACCATGTCCAGAGAGCTGGGGGACATGTCTGGAGTGCAAGTCTGGTGAGGGCTGCTGAGGGAGCTGGGAGTGTTTATTCTGGAGAAAAGGAGGCTCAGAGGAGATCTTATTACACTCTACAACTACCTGAGAAGAGCTTGTAGCCAGGTGGGGGTCAGTCTTCTTTTCTGTAAAAAAGCAATAGAACAAGAGGAAATAGAGGAAATGGCCTCAACTTGAGGCCAATGTGAGCTTTAGAGTCAAGCTGATCTTTGAAGTCTCTTCCAATCCAAGTTCCTATGAAGTTGTGTCAGAGGAGGTTTAGACTCAGTATTAGGAAAAACTTTTTCATGGAAAGGTTTATCAAGAATTGGAAAAGGCTGTCCAGGGAAGTGGCTGAGAAGCATCCCTGGAGGTAATTAAAAGACACATAGATGTGGCCCTTAGGGACATGGTTTAGTGGTGGACCTGGCAGTGCTGGTTTAAGGATCAGACTTTATGATATTAAAGGTCTTTTCCAACCTAAAAGGTGTCCTATTATTCTAATACTGGAATTGCAAGACATGTTTCTTGCAAGAGAAATTTCTGATTCTAGATAATCCTCCTCGGGACAGGGTAAAGAATGATTGAATAGCTTAGGGGTTAAGCTAAGGACAGGGAGGCCCCTCAGCAATTACAGTCAGGGGCAAAACAAAGTCATCTTGGGGAAAATTAATATAATTTACTGCCAATTAATCCTGGAGTAAGACAAATATACCCAAACCTAAATGCAACACCTCCTCTCCTCCCTCTCTGCTCCATTCCTATGCTCAACTTTACATCTGACTCTTCTACCTCATCCCTCTGCCTTGAGCAGTGCAGGGAGATGGAGAAGTGGGGGTTTTAGTGAGTTCAACACTTTACTTCTTTCTCCTTTCTGAGGGGGAAAGCATCCCTCACGGTCCACAGTTCATGTGAAAAATACCTGCTCATGTATGTGCTCCTCTCCATGGCTGCAGCCCCTGCCAGGAAACTTGCTCCAGCATGGCCCTCCATGAGTTGCAGTTTTCCTGGGGGCACATCCACCTGGCTCCAGTGTGAGGTGCTCCACAGGCTGCAGGGCAATCTCATCTGGCGCCTGGAGCACCTCCTTCCCCTTTTTCACTGACCTTAAATGTCTGCAGGTTGTTTATTTTCCATTCACTCCTTTCACAGCTGTTAAGCAGCACTTTTTACCCTTTCTTATTTATCACAGAAGTTCTTAGCAAAGCCATCCCATGAGCTCAGCTTTGGCCAGTGGCAGGTCCATCTTGGAGCTGGCTGGAGAAATGATTGTCTGACATGGGGACATCTTCTGCTGCCTTCAGCCATAAGTCCCCCCTGCATCCCCCAAAGCCTTGCCACACAAAAACACTACATTTCAAAAGCAGAAGTGTCTGCAGTGCTGAAAAGCATGTTCTCTTTCTGTGTCCACTGTTTATCTACAATGAACATGTTTTACTTAGAATACATACTTCATCTGTGGCAATTATTGCAACAAAACTCTAGATCCCCCCTCCATTTACCACACTATTTATACTATTTATAGTATTATACATATTTATGCATCTTAGAACACCAGTTTCTTTTATTTCTACAGCAATTACAACTCTAAATACCTGCATTATAGTAAGTTTCATATTCAGTTTACCCTTGTAGAGTTGCTTAGTATTAGCCTCAGTCCAGCTTCACTAGCTGCTTTCCTCCATTCTCAGTGTTTGTTCACTCACACTTGCCACAAAACTGTCATCAACCCAACTGGAAGGTTATGAATTGCTTCCCTCTGTTTGATCTTCGCTTTGTTTGATCTGCTCACAGTGGTTACATTAAGCATACTACTGCCAGATTTCTGTCAAAGTGAGATTTTTTTTCAAATTAAGTTGTGAAAAGAAGAACACCAATGTGCTGTCGTACAACGCAGTTTTATTTCTTTAATGAAATGCCCTAGCGTCATAAAACAGAACACATTTTCTAATCTTGAAGCCAGCAAGATTGGGAAAAAAGAAAAATCAAAGCTGGTTTTCCTATACATAATTTCCATACTAAGATTACATTCGGAGAAAAAAAATCCCTAGAATTAAAATGTAAGAAAATTACTTACACAGCTCTCTTAAAAATAAACTGGACATGTCGTACAACTCACATATGGTGCTTTGCTACTTTAATATGCTACAAATACAATTATTCAAATGCAACTATGCAGCTTTTCTATTACCTATGACCTTTAAATTTTATTATGTTGCAATACCTTTATTGTTTACTTCACACTTCCTTACCATACTACACAATGATCTTTCATCCTTCTCTGGTGGCTTTTTCTCAGAAAGGAGACCTTCACTGTGGCTTTCTTTGGAAACACCAAGCACTCAGTTGCAGATACTCAAATATTCAAAGCATTTCAATATACATTCACTATGAGATTAAGTCTCCATTTTTCAAGTAGGGGTCTCATGACTTGCTAGTAAACTGATGGAAAGAGCTGGTTAGTATTTATTCCAGTTCTCATTGATGAGAATGTGCTCTGGATAGCTGCAATGCCTCCAGCTCCCTCACTGTTGGTAAGCTGAGTGTGCACCATTACCTCCTGCACATGAATTACTGTAACTTCAAAGTCTGGGTACTCTCACAATATTCATGGATTAACCACAATAACCATAGACATTTTTTAACAAATTACACTTTCAAAAAATATTCACATTTGTAGAACTGCATAATTTCATTTTCAATGGTATGTTAATTCAAAAGTACCTATTTCACTTATTAAACATGGCTTTAAAAATACAATATATGTAACACCTGTGTTAGAAGTGTCAGAAAAACATTGGATGAATCAACATTTCAACTCATTGCAGTAATAACGAAAGCAAAGAACAGTAGTTTTGGAAAAGTATTCAAGTATTTTCCTGAAATACTATATAACAAAATAAAGATCCTAAACTTTGTATGATTGTACTTGAGGCAAATATAATTTGCAAGTGCTTTTTTTCATATAGAGCAATATGAATAATACTTGTAGCAAAGATATAGAACACAATTGTGACAATACACAAAACTGGAATGTAAATAACTTCAATAGGAAAAAAATAACCTGCCATTTATAATAATATTCAAGTGCTTCAGTAATGAAATGACCAATTACCATGGCTTACATTAATCACATATATGAGAGACATGAAACTAACAAAAACTAGATGACAGAAGTATCAATAAATATACATGAATACAGAATCATCAGCTGTTTGGACAGAAAAAAACCTCAGATGAAGTCAGTTTTAAAGAGAACTTTGAACTTAAGAAACACTTTATAAAGATAAAATAGAACAGGGGCTAACTTCTGTCCTCACACAGGAATAACCCTGTACAAGAAGAGCAAAATTTAGCCCCAACCCTGGACACAAAACATATGTGCCACAATACACAAACACTATATACAACTTAAATAATCACTCCATAGCTCTATATGACAGTCTCATGTTTTTTGTTATAAAAACAAATCAGCACAGTGAATTCATGATTTGTCAGATGCCAGTTTCTTCCCTTGGCTTCACAAAGCAAATTATTTTGTTTCATATTTAGTTAAATTATTTTAAGGATTTTAAGAATCATCAGATCATACTTCTAAACTTAACACTTCAACATCTTATTTTGCAAAGACATTTTAACACATGGAGTAGAATGTTCAGAGAATTGTGAAGAGGGAAGCTTTTAGTATGTTAATATCAGATATTATTAAAACCTAAAACTTGCTGGTGTTTGAGAACTTATTTATATTTTCCTTTCCTGTGCCTTCCTGATATCATACAAGTACTCCTGCAATTTGCTTGCAAGACTTTTCAGTTGCACTGTGTCGTATTTGGTATCATCCAAACAGTCATAATACTTTTTATAATCCCAAAAAGCATGATGCAAGGAAACCTTCAAAGACAGAATATATAGGATGAGGTGTGACCTGTATATAGTTGTGCTTTTATTTTTCAAATATCTGTATACTACTATTGTTATTACTTAAAGCCAGGAATGTGTGTTTGAATTGCATTGATAAGTTGCAAGGTATTGTCAGAATTACAAAATGAAATATTTTAACTAAAAAAAAAAGCAAATTACAACAATGTTGTCCAGCATTTAAGCCACACAAATTACATAACACTCCCAGCAGAAAACATCTTCTCAGACACGGAAAATGTATTATCTTGGTGCCAGTGGGAAGTCCAATGTTTCATAACATTTAGATATTATTGCAACACAACTACTAAATTAGCTCTCTAGAAAAGCAAAGAGAATTTATCAGTCATCATGAATACACAGATATAAGCCAATCTCATCTTTTCTAACATAACAGATTACATTGCTGCAATATATTTTAATGATTACAATGTTTTTTAAAAAAAAGACACAATATAGTAAGATGTCTAAAATTATAGTGAAGCCATAAAAAAAAATCTAGAAGTTTAAAATACTTGTCAATTTGACTAAAATGCATATTTACTCAATTTCCTTGAGCTTTTATTTTTTCTCCTCCTCATTGGAGGAACAATGTCTATACTAATTGTTCAATGCTACTCTGGCTGTGGGCAGCTTCATCTTTACAGTCTTCCTCAATTCCCCTTGCAAACAGTTTCATTAACTGGCAGTGAACCCTGAAAAATACAGAAAATAGTAAGAAATAAATGGGTACAACATTTTAAATTATAGTAATTTAATTCTAATAGTCAATTAATTTCAAACAGCTGGACAAAGTTTCTTACTCCTGACTGCAGAAACCACGCCCTCATTTTAGTTACAATCCTTCCCTGCTAAGAGGGCTGGATGCTTTCATGTGTCCTCTTTTATGCCCCTTGTCCACACAACAAGTTCTTTGGGCACCTAGATGAGTAAATCTTGTATAATATACAGCATTTATAAAACTCCCCTTTGGACTGCTAAGGGATTATATTTTAACACTTGTATGTAAATATTATGGGTTTGGCTCCCTTTGTTCTAAAACAACAAACAAAACAAGGAACCAAAACTAATCCAAACAACAACAACAACAACAAAAACTAACCAAAAAACCCTTTCAAATTTCACAAACTTGTTTTCTAATTTGATTATTTGCACAACTGCAAAATTCTTTCTCCATACGTGAAGACTGGAGATAAGACTGTGCTGTGTGCAAAAAAACCACAAAGTATGGGACACAGTATTTCTGTCAGGCAAAGATGTTTACTTAAGCAAATAGGAAAAGCTATTGCTCAGAGCAATGAGGCATTCCATGCATTTAAAAAGAATCCTTCCAACATCATCTTCACTTTCAGCACTTAAAACACACAATAACAGTTCCTAAGAAGTAAGTATGACTGCAAAGGTAGGATCATCCATCTCACTCAGAGTGATCATTTACAACATACATGGCTGCAGTATTCTCTGGAAAGGATTCAAAATGGTAACAAAAATATTTAGGTTTATTATCAGAAGACTCAAACTTGCTATGCACAGGCATCTTTTTGGGATGCCTTTATAAGCATCTTTAAAATCAATGAGAAGGCTTAATGTGTTCTGCTGTATAGACAGAAAAATCAATGCTCACCTCACTTCAATTGCTGAACTATCCAGAGTTTCTCCATCACAATTCCAGGTGCTATTAACAATATTACAGCAACAGGCTGGATGATCTCTGCAGAACTGGCCAAAACGTTTCTTTCCAATGTCCAAGACATTGCTTTCATTGTCTTCTGAAAGCTTTGATGTAAATTGAAAACACTTAACCCGATAAACGTCTACAAATGGAAAGTCAAACTACAAGAAAAAAAAAAGGCAAATCAGGCCATTATAATTAAATATATTTGATGTGTAAAGCCACTCAGTATTTTGTACTCCAGGAAAGTCTGTCCACTCCAATTTTCTAGAGAAGCTTACCTGAGTATAAAGTGATACTTGCTTTTGAAAAACTGCACAAGTCAAAAAAAATACAAAGAGAAAATGAAACCTTACTTCTCAATGGTCACTGTATAATGCCTTTTACAGCAAAATGGTGTAAGAAAAGCTGCATGGAAGACCATCCTACCCTGGATTTGCCTCCTGACTGTGGCCCTGGACTGCAAGCTGATGGAGATAAGAGACTCAGGTCTGGGCTGGGGTAGCAGAATACATGCACAGGAGGATTATGCCCAGCATCTTTGGGGTGGAGACCACAGCCCCGGGCTATCACTTGCCAGGCTCACCAGACCCACATCAAAGCAGAGAGGAGGAGAGGATCTGGGTGTGCGCTGAAAAAGCCTCTGGTCAGAAGCAGTGAATGCCCATCCTCTGCTGTGCAGAGGAGCTCCAGGGGCCTGTACCCTAGAAAGGCACATCCAAGGGACATCCACATGAGGGACAGCAGAGGGGGTGTCATGGCCCATCAAAGGCTGCCTCAAAGGGGTCCCAGACCCTGCATATGATGCAAAATGATGCAACAGATCCACAGTCTTACAGGGAGCAGTGTCACACCTGCCCCCTTCAGGAGACACACCTGGGTGTTCCCACCTGCCATTCCCATTACATTCCAAAAAACTAGGAATAATTATAACTAGTTAATTCAGCTAGGAAAAGCAGGTCACTTAGAAGGCTGCAGATTTACACTACAATATTGAACAAATGCTTTAATACAGGAATCATCAATTGAAGCAACAATACATTAGAGGATGCCTCCATCAGCCCTAAAAGCAACCTAACAGATACAGAGCTAACTATTCAGCAAGCTGCATGGAATACAGACAGGTCACTTAGCAAAGGCCATGGAGTATGTCTGTGTGTGTCTACAGGAAGGGAATGACAGGGAAGCAAATGTGAAAACCAATCTGTAGCAATGTATAGTCATCCTTTTATTTTTGGTTTTTCTTCCACATTTTCTTAAGTTTTCAAGAAGGGTTTCCCAAGAAGGGTTTTTATGGTGGACACTAACCTGGGACATATGTACAACCTTGCATTTAATCTCCACAGCAAAACCAGTATATCCCAGAGAAAAATGGGATAAAAGCAATTTTTTATTGCTTTTATGCACTGGATTTGACATTAGTCCATTGCTCAGGTAATTTCCAGAGATGTTAATAAAATCAGGTTGTGACAAATATTAAATATGTGTAGTCACAGTCATAACTTGGTTTCAAGAGATATTAGAATCCAAAGCAGTGATGAATCTTCCTGTCTGACAGCTACAACACATGCAAGAAATAATTTTCAAGCTGAATGCATAAAGCTCATCCTGGTCACTAATATGTAGTAAAATACTGCTAAAAGCCTGCAGTCTACAATCAAATTGAAGTTCTGGTAACTTAATTCTAAAACACATTTTTATACAGTTCTCAAAAGTGATTTATGATTCTTCACCACATCTACCTCAACTATTCATGCTGTGAGTAGTTTCTCATGCCGTGAGCAGTTTTTCATGACAACTACATGAGGGCACAGTTGTGATAAAATAACTTTAAATATCATTCAAACAGCACATACACGGAAAATGTTACAAAACTGAATTCAGATGGCAAAAGTGGAATTTTGTTAAAATGCTATGGCCAAGGAGTTGACTTTGGTAAAGTGTTTTGAGCTTCTTTTTTTCCCCATGATACACATGCTGAGATTGCATCACGCAAAATGCATAAATTTACAAAACCCAAACAAACCTGCTTTATAGATATTATTTCTGTCCTATAAGAATACCAATATTTACACCTTTGATGGACACTGTCAAAAGGAATACACACCTGATCATCTTGGTTTGTGTGCCTGACAAGATACCGTAGAAAATCGAATCTGGAGCATTTCCGAACTAGGATGAGGTCTGCTGAACCATCTGCCAAATGAGCTGCTGGTGAAAGACCTTTGGGACTTCGTGGACAGGCACAGCTCATATTTACTGCATTGATGGCTAGAAATTTCCCTTTTATAACCTTCCATTCTTCTTCACCTTCTGAAACACACCAATAAAGACATGGAGACAGGTAATCATTTGATCTATTCACAAGAACACTAAAAAGCAATCAATGGCAACTTAAAATTCTTCCCTGGCCATATTCATGTACTGTCAATAAATTTCTAAAATAAACTACATTTAAAAATAATATTTTAAAGTATCTCTTTTTCATACTCTAACAGAGAAAGTTGCTTTCTCCCTTCTGACTGTGACTACCTCCCATAACTGCTTGCCTGCTCTGGCATATGCATGTCAAATTCAGGATCAGTGCTATGTGGGGAAACCTACAAAGCCATAAGAAAAGAAAAGACAGGCAAGTGACAACTCTTGTAGTGTCAAAGTTCAGAGGGATTAACTTTATAAAATTCTATTTCTGCTCTTCAACTTGTTAATCTTAAATAAACAATGATGCAAGGCTTGTAGTTTAGTATTTGGTTTCTGAAGTAATATTCCTTTTCTGCCTCAATGCAGCAACTTAATATTTTTAAAAAGTCAAAGGGAAGGGATGACTCAGGGCGCAGCAAGGACCAGCAGGCAGCACACCAGGAGTCTGCTTCCACTCTAGCTCCAAATGCCCCAAAATTAAAACTATTAACAGAGTTAAACGTTCCTGTGTGCAAATCTTCAGAGATTTCTGGAAAACAACACAAAGCCTCTTTTCAATACCTTGAAACTCTGTTGGAGACTACATGAAAACTGAATGTGTGCTGGCATTGATACTACCAGGAAACAGAGAAATTTTCTAGAACAAAGAAGCATTGGCAGGCAATGCAGAGTTGTTGTTGCCAAAACTGTTTTCTCTTGAATATGGATAAAATATATTTAAAATGCCTTTTTTATTTTTAGATTAAGCATATTTGTCTTCCTTATCACAATAAGAAAAAGCCAAAAAGCAGCCATAACACTGTTTTTCTCCTACCAATATAAGTGGACTCATTTCAAATGAACAATTCCACAGAAGCAATGAGTGCAGAACAGACTATGGACACGCGTGCTGTTCAAAGACTGGGACGAGTGAAGTGCCATTAGGGGTAAAATTAAGGAGTGAACAAAAAATGCTTAAGTTTGTTTATGTATACAAGGTAGAGATTTTGAGGAATGTTAACTGGTATAGACTCCAACATCTAACATGATTCAGTTCCCCACATTTTGGTTAACTTACAGTGATTTTCAAGGTGCTTTTCTGATGAGATTACAGATGATGTTTATGCTCTATATTGTATGTCCTGAAATTCTGATATTCCTTACTGTCTCAGTTCTAGGAACTTCACATTTACTTTAGAGAATAATTATTAAAATTGTCTAGGTCATTTTGAACCTGAAGTCTGTGATGCATTCATTTTGAATCAACATGTTCCAGGCTCTATGCATCAGGAAAAATAAAAAGAAAAAAAAATGTTTCCGAAGTATTTTGCAGTTGTTCACTCCTTGAACTTCTCTTGTTTTCTGGAATTCATTGAAACTTCTTACTATCTACTCTCTAGTAACAGAACAAGAAAAACAATTTTCCAGGAAAAACCATGTAAACCATGTGACAAAAGACTTAAGGAAAACAAAAAACTTTATCATAATTTTTCCATCTAGACTATCCCCTTTACCTCCTGAGAAACAAATCAGAAATAGCAAGAAAAAAACCACGGCTTTTAAATTCAACATCTTTGCTTAATTTGCCACAGTGCTTTTTAGTATTGCTTGCTTTACTGCTGATCTTTTTATGTTGCTTTCAAACATGACATTACCAAAAGAAGTAATTTAAATCAGATTCAAAATGTGCATCTTAAGAGAGCTGAGACATATCTAAATGTCAGACTATAGAATGACAGTTCAGGCTGCAGGCAAATGACAAGACCCTGCTCTGAGATGAAAGTAACTGAACCCAACATGAACTACTGGAACTGGAAGCAGTAGGCATTTTCTGAGATGTTAGTAAAATATACAAACAACAAAATGCAAACATCTCCCTTCACTGATAAATTCTTTTGCTGTTTCTCTGAGAAGCATTAGTAATTTAGTCATCAGTGTGTCTAGATATGTATTAACATTTTAAGTATGCTTAAGGTAAAATGCTTCTTTATGTTACTGTAATAGATGGTTTTCATCTGGTATAAATCTCAGCATGTTACCCAAGAACACCTTCACTGTTCAAAGTAAGAATGAAGTCAGGGTATCAATCACATTTTAAATGAACAACTCTTTTTATAAACATTCTGCAGTGTGTATCACTGTAACAGCACAAATTATTTGCTCAAAATATCCCACAGTAGGGCAGTCATAAGCAGGGAGTGCATAAGTGACACTCATCAGTGGCCTATTGTGTACACACACTGCAAGTTGCTGAAATCAGCATAAAGTACTAACAGTCAACATTTACTCAGCACATGCACAGAGACTCCTGCACAATACAAAGAAATATGTTCAGCAACAGCCAATCAAGCATCCTCCTAAACTGATCTGAATCACACACAAACCTGGTAGGCACAATGAAAGAGTCAGCCAAGACACCCTGCTGAGTGAAAAGCTTCTCTGAAGTGGAGATTTAGAATCCTTTCTACAGTGAATCAAAAGTAGCTGATTGTATTATTTCCTCACCAGTACTGCATGGGTATGAGAACAGACTGCAAAGAAAGCCAGCTACCAGAAGTAGAATGGAAAAAAGTAAACAATATCATACATAATCAGCTGCTTAATGTCACCTGCAATGTTGGCTAAAACTGTCTTGATTGCTAACTAACCTGTAGCTTTCTAGTAGCTCCTTTGCTAGATGAAAGGGAACAAAAAAGGCAAATTTAAAAACCAAACCAACCAAACAATGCACAGGAACATTAAAAAAATGCACATAAACCCCCAGACAAACAAAAGAAAAAAGGTTGGCAATTTATAACTACAATCATTTCTCAAAAAGACAAATTTTTTTCTTACCAAAGAACCTATTGTCATATTTATATTATTATTTCTATGCATTGTTTATACTCTAAAAAATTTTCTTTAGCTGAATCTGGCCATAGATTAAAACAATCCAAGAAATAGTCTGATTTGACCATCTCTTGACTATATCAAAGATCTGAAAGCATCAGCTAGGATGAAAGCACAAAACAAGTGTAATGGGAATTCAAGTTGCACAGAAATCTTTATGCTAGCAGTAAATCTCCACAGTATGATAATCTTTTGGCTAACAAATGCCTAGAACCTGGCACAGTCACAGTGCAAAACACCTGCAATTGTAAGACAATGCAGGTCATAAGGACCAAATGCTTGTCAAGAAAATTATAATTGTATGCACTGGGCTCTACAATAAGAAATAAAAACAGAGTAAAGGCAGAAAGAAGCACCCACAGGAAGCCTGCCTGCTCTTTAAGAGGGGCTAATCCAAAATGATGAACCAAAGCTGGAGGCAAAACTCAAGTGAATCTACATTATCTTCCTCTAGCAAGGCCCCAAGTGTAGCAATATCAGTACTTCTTCCCATTAGGATGTAGCAGCCAGACATAAAGAGATGCAACTGGGGGAATGACTGAAGAGAATTCATTAACACTTGTTTAAACAGGAGGAAAGAAAAGTTATGCCCATTAGAAAACACTCTACACAAGTGTGCACAAGGGTTAGAATGGGGATGAAAGAGAGAGTAAGGACAGCATAACTAGAGAAAGAGGACAGAAATCTCATTTATCATTTATAGTGAGTATTGGTGGGATGTTGTACAGAAATACTCAAGTCCACTAGATCAGCTGCTAGTCATCCAAGTTCACAGCCTCATAGTAAGGTGACATTTGTGGTAACAAACACAAATTTTTAATCCTGATCTATTCTAAAAGTTATCTTAATGAACTACTTCCTTCTATGACACCTCACAGTTCATCCATTCAGTCCTTTTCACAAAAACCCATTGTCCTAGCTCACAGAATTATTTTTCTTAAAGAAAAGAAACTAAAAACACTGAAATATACAATTAGTATAATTTTATCAGAATTTTCTGAGATTTGGGTAGAGAAGACACCTTGCATGTTTTTCACATACTTAGAATCGGTGTCGTAGAATCATTTTGTTTGGAAAAGACCTCTAAAATCAGAGTCCAACTGTCAAAATAACACCACTAAACCATATCTGCCCAAGTGCCACATCCATGTGTCTTCTGAACACTTCCAGGACACCACTTCCATGGTCAGCCTTTTCCAATGCTTGATAGCCCTTTCCATGAAGAGATTTTTCCTAATATCCACACTAAACCTTCCCTGGCATAATTTGAGATCATTTCCTCATAACCTGGAAGAAGAGAAAGAACCCCACAAGCCTACAGCCTCCTTGCAGTTGTAGAGTGTGATGAGGTCTCCCCTGAGCCTCCTTTTTCCCAGGTTAAACAGCCCCAGCTCCCTCAGCTGCTCCTCACAGGACTTGTGCTCCAGACCCTTCACGATCTGTTGCCATTCTCTGGACATGTTTCAGCACCTCAATGTCATCCTTAAAGTGAGGGGCCCAAAACTGAACACAGGAATCAAGGTGTGGCCTCACTAGTGATGAGTACAGGGGGGCGATGACACTTACAGGTGTTTTGTAGAAACTGAAAAAAAAAATGGGATTACCAAGTAACTCAATGTTTAAAAAAACAAAATACATGCACACTTGAACTGCTATCTTCTGAAAAGGAATAATTTGTGTAATACTATCACATTTTACTTTCTTTTGATAAATTACCTTCATTCTTCAATCCATGTTCCTTGTTCTGTTCTGCCAGCTGTTTCTCACTTTGCTTGCAAATGTAACATCTGAAAACAAAAATATCATTCAATTCCTGGAAGACCTCCACTATTATTCATTTCAATTTTTTTATTTTACCCAGTCATTACAATATCTTTCCCCACCACAAGATGCACTGACAATCCTCATGTGGCATGAATGATCATAGCCCTGCAGGCAGTGCAGTTATTTAAGTACAGTTCTAAAGATTACTGGATGTCAGAGGTAACAGCAGCAGAGAGCCAGAAGACCATACAGGCTGGAAGGGATCTCTGATGTGATCAAACTTGGTCTCACAGGAGAGCTCAAAGTTGGTCTTACAGGATCAAGATGCTCAGTGTCTTATTCAGTCAGGTTTTGAGGATCTGTGAGGGTCAAGTCCACAGACCTCTGGGCACCTTGTTCCAACATCTGACTGCTCTAACAGTGAAAGACACTGACATACTGGAGACACTCCATCTCACAAGTGTCCTTGCTCATCCAAATTGCTTTTCTATCCTGGTTATCAAGTTTCTGAGTATCAGAATGGATTATCCTGGAACTCTGAGGAGGTACCAACTAACTCTCCTATGCCTCTTTGTATTCTAGAACAGTCTCCCATGTAATCTTGCCAAGATATGCAAATAAACCAAAGTCCAAGGCTGCAATTCTACTTTTTGTCTCATTTACTTCTCTCAGAAGTTTAAACTCTATAATTTCACGGTCACCACTGCCAAAACTGCCCTCAACCATCACATCCCTCACATCCCCACTTTTTATCTTCTGTATCAAGACTGGCAGAGTAGTTGTTCTAGCCAGCCTGTCAATCACCTGCATGATCAATCCCATTACCACACCCCAAGATTCTCCTAAATTTCTTGTGCCTGGCCCTACTGCCTTTCCAGCAGTTATCAGGAAGGATAGCTGATAACTGATAAAGAATGCCTGTGAGGCACCAGGCATTCCTTACTCCATTCCTGAAACCTGGATGGAAACCTGGATGACAGCTCTCTCCCTCTGGAGCCTCCCCTCCCTCTGGAGCATGAGGGCACCTGATGGGTCAGGATAGCTGCTCCAGCTGATACTGGCATCTGATCCCCAGTGTGCCACAGCACTGGCACAGCAGTCTTATTGTTTCTGGACAAAGTTTGTGGCGTCTCTGTATCCTGCTGTGCTGTTTGGTGCTGTGACAAGCACTTTATGTCTGATAGCTAAATCTATATATAAAGAGGAATAATTAATACTAGTGCATAACTTCAAGCAGGTGAAAGCAAAGAGAAAGGAAGGAGCACTGGGAGATTAAGGCAGGTCCCCTGACTAAAGAAACGAGTGAAACATATCAGAAAGAATTCATACAGCATCATAGTAGTATACAAAGAAACAGGCTAAATAGGCTGATTCCTGAGAGGACTTGTCCTCAGGACAAGCCATGCCAACTGTTATGGCACTAAAGCAACCACTAACATTTCTAGATGCAGTTAGGATGTGAACAGTTGAGAATTTCTGAATTATTATTTCCATTTCTAGAAGCTACAACCCATCCAGATTTTTGATTTCTTAGTAGGAACACAGCAGAGTATCCTCAGCATCTTGTAACTGAGTCCTGTGCTATTATATTTTGCTTTACTTAAAATTGAGGGAGGAGGAGAACCAGCTAACAAAATTTTATTAGATTTTTGTTTAATGATCTGATAAAATGAGGAGTTCTTTTTAATGAGTCAATAATTGTTTTTACAAGCTTATCTCTTTCAGAGTAAGTGTTTTGATATTAAAACCAGCAGTTCTGTAACCTCTATTTATGTACAGGCCTTTTTGAATAGTTCACACCAAATATCCAGAGATAAACATTAGCCTACCCCGTTCTGCAGCTCACTTTATCTCGTGGAGATCCATGTGTGTGTTTTGCTGGTTGATAAGCAATTGTTCCTTCATAATAGTGATGAGAAAGAAAAGTCTTGAAGCCTACATAAAAAAAGGCATTATGCAGCATGAAGTCATTATAAATCCACATGGCAAATATCTCTGCATACATTCCTTGATTTTTCATCTCTTTCCTTCTCTAAGGACTGCAAAACAATAGTAGCCCTCCTCAAGCTGAGAAGTCCTTTTCTTATGATGTTTTAGACTGTAAGGAACAAGAAAATACCACAGCAGCGATCCAATGTTTTAACATTTGTCAGAAGTGCCATTTCACTTGACAGCTTTAAAAACCAACTAAAATATTTAGTTATATATCACTGCTGAATCTTAAAATTTGCCTGCACTAAAACTTTCCTCATGCATCTTCTTTCCTTAACACAAGATAAATCAAACAAGGCAAAAGATACTTTCCACTAGCATAGGGTTTATCCAAATATTTGGTAACAAGACTAAATCACTCCTCTCTCTCTATAAGGGCAAAATTAACAATTCATTCCATCAACTGAATGTTCAAGACAGAGGAGTACCTATCTCTCTTTAAGTGACTAGAAAGAAAGTCAAAATGATTAGGACAGAGAAGTTATTACTTTTCAGGCAATTTTCAATAGGTGGCACATATTCAACACAAATTTTTTGAGCCCACTTTCAATGTTAACCCCAAAGTTACAGAGCTTTATGTAATGTAATTCAATATATTTGGTACTAGAAGGAGTTTAAAATCAGGCTCAGCATGTTTCTAATGTTTACAAGCTTGAAAGAAGGTTGGTTTGGAGAGAATAAACCAACTGTTTCAATATGCTTACATGCTGACAAAATAATGTAGCAATTAAAAAAATTACCTGAGTAGTCATATCTCATTGGACCCATCCACCTCTTCTTCTCACTATCCTTCAATATATCTCCATAAAAACCATAACCCAGCAATGACACAGAGTATTTCAAAAATGTGTTGTTGTGATGTACAGAAGAGACATCCAGAGGCTGACAGTCACCTATGAAGATCAGAAGTACAAGAGTTTGTCATGCCTTATTTCATTTGCAGCTGCAAGCATGATAGTAACTTTAACACTGCAAAGTCATTAAAAATAAAAAATACATATTGTATTTATGTCAATACATATGTAATAAATGCATATACTTCTTACACATAAAGAAAAGGAAATATAATTTTTAATACTAATTTAATTTCTTACTTCAAAAGCATTAAACACTGAGTGAGAAGGCTCAGTATACTGAAAATGTGCAATGAAGAATTTGCAGTCCTTTACCATGTAGCAGTAGGAGGGGATAGAGTTGAAGACCTATTTAGATTGGAAAAGGCCTTTGGGATCAACAAGTCCAAATCTCAACCCAGCCTCCTCAAGGTCACTACTAAACCATGTCCCTAATGCCACATCTTGTCTTCTAAGTACTGGCACCCTGTGTCAATGTTGACAGCCCCTTTCCCTAAGCAGACTGATGCAGTATCTCCTGTACTTCTCCTGGGTACTGCTTTAACCTCTGTGGCATACTATCAGAGGATAATTCAAGCTGCAAGGAGCCTTTGGGGGTTTCTCATCAAACCTTCCACTCAGACCAGGTTCAGCTATGAGGTGCCATCAGGTTACTCAGGGCTTATCCAGTCAAGTTCTGGAAATCCCTAAGAACAAAGAATACTCCACTTCTCTGATATCCTCCTCATGCAAACTTTGGAGTGATGGTGGGAGTTGGGGTGGGTTTTTTTGTTTTGTTTGGTATTTTGGTGTTTGGGGTTTTTCTATTTCACAGGGAGGTTGGACCAGATGATCACTGTTCCAACCTGACCCATTCTGTAATTCTGGGACTTAACAACACAGCTAAAATTCTATGATAAAGTGAAGCCACATCTTTCTAACCCTAGTCCAAAGGCTTTAACTCCACAGATGCTGAACAGAGTAAACCATAGGTTAGTAAGAGAAACACATGTGTAAATCTTTGCAACACCAGATCCTAAAACTGCAGCTGTTACTCAGTAATGATATTAGAAGGAATTGCAACTCTAACTTGGCAAGGGAATATTGAATTGCCTGGGACAATTGGACAACTAGCACAAAATAGCACCATTCAAATGTACATGCATTTCTCAAAGCTTTTATTTTTCTCTAAGATAGATATACAAATATATAGATAGTCCAACAACTGATGCTTATTGCTATTTACTTTATTTCAAAAGAATGTTTATTTCAATTTCAAAAGAATGACAGAATTCATGAAAACTTCAGCACAACTTTTTTGAAATATTGTTCCCTTGAAAACAATGAATTACTGTAGAGAAAGCAATCAGTTTTTAACCTCCTATATTTCAAATCAGAGACTTAAATCCCAGAAAAAAACTTTGTATTTCAACTCAGCCATTATGTTCAAATTATATTTCACAGACATAAAGAAAGAACTAAATGAAAATGTATTTTGGGCTACTTCCACTGTTTTTGTAACAACACAGCAAACTGTGACCACCCACCTACAATAATATGAAGAGCTGAAGTTACTGGATCAGAAATGCCAACAGTTGAATAGCATATGCAATCTGTTGATCCTGAAAAATAAAAAACTAGGCATCAATTTGTATCTTTACAAAAGAAGTATTATTGGTGCAGTTCTCCAAATAAAAGCATTATGTTCCTTTGGTTTGCTCCTTTCCATTTTATGGAACAAAGTAAATACAGGAATACAGTATTATTATTTTTATTATTTAAACTATAACATTCCACCCCCCAATGAATACAAGTTATTGCTCTCCATATAAAGTACAAAAATTTCACAATATAAGTAATAAACATGTAGCAGTTGTGAAGGGAGTTAATTTACATGGAAAATTTCACTATTACATTATAGCTTTTATATCAAATGAGGCAGGCATACATTGGTTCTCCTCTGTTTAGGATTTCTTGCTCACTGAGATCTCAAGAAAGGAAGAGAAATTGACTGGTCTGCTGTTTTTTGTGGTACTGATCTAAATTTCAGGATGTCATCTTATACCAGAAATTTCTGCTCTGTTCTATTATTTGAAAATTAGCAAAAATACTTGCTTTCAGGAATTAGTTTCTAGATAGGGTAACAAAATGGACAGAGATGTACCTTTATGGACTTGATGCAAAATACAGACAAGAAGAAAGCGGGGAAGCTTTAGGTTTCACCTAAATGCTGTTCAGAAATGGACAACTCTCCCTTTTTCCTATAGAAAACAAGAGCCTAACATAGGGATCTGGTTTCTGCTCAGCAGCAGGAACTTGGAACTCAGATCCAGACAGACAGAAGTGTATTTGTTGCAGCACCTAACTCTGAATTTATCTTACAGTTTCTCCCATCCTTCCCACGAAACTGAATTCCTTTAAAGTCAAAGGTAGATGCCTGAAAAGAGAAACTTTGTCCACATACATGTTCTGAGACTTCCTACCAATGCATTATGTGGAAGAGCAGCTCAAATACAGTGTACTTGATTGCTGAGGCCTTATCAAATTGAAATAGAAACTAAAAATGGAGGAATGAGCAACCATTTAAAAACCACTTTCAGTTCTTTTTCATTTTGGAAATAGCCAGGACATTAGCAATTAATAATGGGAGCAAAGAAAATCCTTTCCTTTTCAGAAGATTGACATCACTTCCCCTGCCTGTGAATGGCAGGACAGAAGCTTTCACCAAGTAAATGTTATGCAGAAATCTATCACAGTGAACAAGCAGCAGCTCCAGGAGCCAGTTAAAGAGAATATCACAGAACTGCAGGACAAAAGAATCAGTGTGACTAAACAGACCTCTCACTGCAAGGCTGAGGAACAAGACAGTGCCAGTGAACCATTACAGGCATATGCCATTGCAGGACAGAGGACTCCAATTTCCCTCAGTATCACAACAGATGGGGTACTCAGATGATGATCTTGTGTCACATTTAAGGTTCTATAAAAGAAAATATTAAGTAGACTGAAGGTGAAGCTATAACTTTACTGCCAAGTTTCATATTATCTCCTACGCTCATGAACAGAAAATTCTGACTACTTTTGAAAAGAAAAACAAATGATCCCTGAGAGATCTGGCCTAAACTTTACCGCTGAATGTACAAGCCTAACACTTAATCCAGCATTTCTCATTTCTTCCACATCTGTGTGCGTTCTGCTCCTACAATTACCTCAATTACATTTGTCTTGACGCAAACAGAGCTTCCAAGTGGTTTTACACACAGATGGGAGAAGAGGGGAATTTGTGCAAGCTACTTTTCAACACCAGAAGCCCATCTCCCTGTGATCTTCTATACTCAATTAAAAGCTGATTCATCTGTTTGGCAATTACACAGAACTTATTTACATTTCTATTCATTAACTAGTAAGGAAGGTCTAAAATTAAAACTGAAGTCTGAAATTAATTCTGAGATTCGAAAATGGGAGACATCAACAGTAAAATACTGTTGGTTTTTTCCTCTTGGAGCTCGTAGTATGGAGCAACAAAACCAGTGACCTATTTACACATGGATGTAACTACTATAGCATTCCATACACATGAAAAGAGAATGTAACTTGCCATAACACCACACCAAGCATGAACCTAACATTAAACAGTACTTGTTTAAAGGTCACAAAAATGTTCATGATGACTAAGGGTTTGAATTCTTTTGAATTCAAATTTGAACTAAACAAGACTTCTAGATCTTTAGGGGGATCTTCACTAGATGTGGAATCTACAACTGCTGCCACACCATTTTGAACAGATGGACACACAAACCCACCAAAGTCTGGGTTATTTCATCAGTATAAGCCTGATATGAAAAGCAGGATTAGAACGTAAATATATCTTGAATAATATCCCATGATTAATATCTTGGGATTGCCAGAGCACTCAGTTCAGGCAAGAAGCTTCCCATAAAGCATGACTAATGTTAAATGGTGGGTATTGTACACTCTGACTAAACCAACACAACAATTATGTACATACTCTGCCAGATTTTCTTTGGGGATTTTTAAGGGCAACAGCTTGAGTGAAGGAACATAAAAGAGGTTTCTATGGATTGCAGAGAACTATATGGAAATGTGAAGGAAGTAGTTGGACTACTTGCTAACTGGGTCCCAATTCACTTAAAAAAAAGACAAACCCATTCAGTATAGAAATTAATTATTGCATTGGTTTATTAGTAGAGAAGAAAATCAGCATTCAAAGCAATGATTAAGTTTCAGTTTAAGACACACAGAGCTATACGTGTGCATGTTACACTGCAGACAATATGCCAAAGCTTCAGCCCTGGTCAAGGACATACTGTCAGGAGTAGCTGATGGCAGCTTCAGCTTGAGCCTAGGTACTCACGCACAGGCCTCAGGGGAAGGCCTCGGGAAACAAGACATCTGCATGTGACAAACAGATGCTACAGAAGATGAACAGGCTCTGCTAATCCTATTGACCAGATGCTCTCTGCTATAAATTTAGATGCCCATCTCAATGCAGACACCAAATGTAAGCATGAAAATTCGAGTGTCAGTTTCAAACTGAAACTTACCTTAAGGATATTAATTCCTTTAGCTAAAATGTCACCAACCACCAGTGCTGCAGATTATTCTGCTTGTCCTCCAACTCCTACTCTAGCACTACAATCATCTTGCATAGGGCCAGTACATTTCAACAATGGTGGCACCACAACACTGTACGATAGGCAGATGCTGAATGTCTGAATTCTCCCAGCTAAAGCTTTCATCCCAGAGATTCTGATGTTAAGAACTTACTGAAAACATGAAATATGTAGAAGGCACAACATTTTGTGTTTGATAAGGTAGGTATAATTACTTTGAATCTTTACTACACATCACTCATTTTCCTTCAAGTTGTTTTTTATTAGGAGGTCTCATACAGCCACATGGTTGTTACACAGGCAAGTTCTGTGGTTTTTTCCTCCGCAAGTATGAAAAATGAAATAGTTTATATAAATACATTTAATGATATAAAAATTCAGGAAATCCTTCCTTTTAGTTAATCAATCACAAGGAAGAACAATCAAGATATTTATTGAAGCATGAATGATCATGTACTCTGCATAAATTTTGTCGAAGCAATATAAAAGCAAAGTGAGGGACTGCATTACACAGAATGAACTACAGCCAAATCACCGATTTCCCCTTTGCATGTGAACATTGCTAGATATTTGTGAGTAGACAAGTCATGCAGACAGGTACACTCAGACACCATGTCACAAGTTTAAACTGATAATAGAACTACCAAAGTAGTAAAGCAAAACTCAGATAATTTGCTGGTTGTATGGAAGATTTCATGCCATTGATTGGTGGACCAACGACAGACAAAGTGCTAGACTTAATAATCTGAATCATGATTAGACTACTAACTTACAACTAAGGTTTCTTAAACCAAAACACACACATAGTGTGAGGTACATATATTTATTTTTGTGCTTTTATTGATGGAAAGCAAAAATTACAAACAATTGAAGTACGAAAACAAGCAGGTGACAGAAGCAAGTCAGCTAGATGCTGATCCTATGGAAAACCATGAATTTAATAAAGAAATAGAAATACTTTTAGAGCTTATGAGCATTGCTCTATGTGAGATACTCTTGACAGAAACAGATGCTCCCATGGCACCTAGAGAATCCTCAGACAAATTAGTATAAGAACAATATTTGTAGTGAAAAAAAGGTAGAATAGCAACTTCAGTGGGGCTCTCATATTTGTGCAGAGTTTTTGTGAATCCATAATCCATGCAGTCATCATACAGATGAAATGTCAGGTAAACTGCCCTAATGACAGTGTGATTATGGATCACACTGTATGGATAATGACAGTGATTTTGGATCAAGCAGCATTTAATATCTTGAAAAATTCTACAAAACTACTTTTCTGAGAAGTACTTCTTAAATGACAAGGAGCTGGCACATTCAAAATAAGGGGAGAAGCTACTGCTACAGGGAGAGATGAAGGCTCTGGGCTTACACCCATGTACCTACTCAAAATTTTGTATGTCTTCCTTTACACATACAGAAACCAAGAAGTCAAGTTTCATCTGCATAACAACAGACTGGCTAAAAGAGAAACAGTTCAGAAAGACTTTGGTGTAGGATTTTTTTGGTAGATAATTACTTCAGCGTAGCTGAGTAACACAAGACAACAAAAATTGTTTAGTCTAATAATGGCAGATTTTAGAGATGAAATTAACATTATAGGAGTAAGTAATATTGACTTACTTGTCTCCATGACAGACCCACAATGTTAAGTGCAGTATTTAGCCCTAAGACTGTCATTTCAAGAACTTTAATGGATTTAAAGTACTGAAGGAGAAGCATAAAACATGCACTTCAGATTTCAAAGTGGATATAGTGAGCTTTGAAACTAAATGGCAAAGATCATTAAATATTACAAGCTTTGTAGCTGAGAAGGCTGAGAACAGACCACTTGGAGTAATTAAACAAGAAAGATAGCTTTTATTGCTATGCTTTAACACATTTTAAAGATAATTTTACATTGTAAATGACAGCAGTATGAGTCCAGTCACACTTCACAACTTGACTTGAATCTATTTTTTAAGCTTGTGAATGAATCCTCCATCTTTTTCCTGTATTATGTTCATACAGGAAGCATGTACTGCCTTTGACATTCTTAACTTCTACATGTAGTGACACATCAACATTCTGATTATAATCACACTGCATCCTTCAATCTAAACAGTACAGAGCTGACCACCAGAACCCAATCTGGATACACTAGAAGCCTAAAATCACTATAGCTATCAACTTTGTGTCTATACTTTACTCAGTATTCCCAAGGGCTTAGATTTTCCCCCACAGTGGGTTACAGACTTGATTATTGCAATGAATGCAGTACAACAGAGTACAACAACAGAGTGAAGTGGGTTTGTTTTTTCCTATCTGCTAAGATTACGAAAAATATTTAATCTAGTAAGTTCTTTTTAAACTAAAAAAAGAACAGCAGTTGACAGCTTTGTCCTCCTATTCTATGCCAAGAACAGCATTATGTTCTATGTACTAAGAACAGCAAATTACTTTGGCTTACTCCAGAGGGTGCAATTTTAATACTAAAACATGTGGATGAAATGTCAGTGTCCAAGCTGTATCAGGAACCATTCTCTGCACTGAAGTTCTATGGACACATATTATTAGTCTGAATGCAGTGAGAGCACATGGCTGAAAGTGCTTTTAAGGCTAGTAAGAAACAACTAGCTTTTAAGGCCTAGAGGAAAAAATAACTAAACAGAAGTTTTCAGAGATACACTACAGCTTCTAAGTACTCCTAACAGCAAATCCATTTACAATGGCAAACAGTCAATTTCCACTGACAGATTTGAAGAATGGCTGCAACTAAGAGAAATTCAGAAGTTAAAACTGCCATTTGAGTAGAAGTCTTTTATCCAGGTCAACAAAACCACAAGTTATTTCATAGAAATGTTCGATAATGCATAAGAATAAATTATATTTTTCAACAATAAGATGCACTAAAGAAAGAGGCTGTTGGGAAACTGGCATAACTGTTCAAGGAAAAAAAAAAGAGCCAAGCAGGGACTTGCTGCAGAAAGTTAGAATTATGATATACAAATAGTATTCAGCGTTCAAAAAAAAGTCTGCACACTGGAATTCTGCTATGAAATAAAGCTTATCACTGAAACCCAGTCATTTAGATGAGTGTTTTAGCATTAAATCTCTTCCACTTGTAATTTTGAACCTCTGTACAATTAAATTGTCAGTCTCTGAGCAAAGACCATCTGCTGAATTTAGTTTTGTTTGAATACAGAAACTGTTTAATCACAACCACAAACCACAACCTGCTACGTTTCTCTTAGCACAGTGATATCAGGAACTAAGTGATAAAAAAGGTGAAAACACTGATCCACTGCCTTCTTACCCCAGGCTCCTGTCATCACTGAGTAAACCATCTCTGTGTATCAGAAGACAAACAGAGTTTTAGATCTTCATCTTTAAACTATGGGTAGCCTTTGTTTTCAATATCTATTAATGAGTTCCTAGGATATTTTAAAAAGGTTGGTTATAAAGAAGTAGAACACAATGAATGAAGTTTTATTAGATGTATGGTTAGTATTTAATTATTACTTTTGACTTGTATTTCAGGACTATTGGTTTAGTTTTTAAAAAAAGAAAAAAGGTCTTAAGAATTTCACTTATTTTTGGAACAGACTTCTTGCACTACTGATAGAGCTAGAGAATCTGTTGGGGTCAATACATGGTCAGAACTCCACTGTATCAAGCAAAGATGAATACAGAACAGCTTCACCATGGGCTGGAAAAATATAAACCAGAAAAAAACCCCAAATCTTGCTGCCTTGAGGGAGGGTTATGCTGTTTCATATTCAATTTAAAGTCACTATAATGACTAGATGTGTCAAGATTTGTTCAGTGACTTGACAACCTTTTACAATAAATAAGCACTTTCCCATATACACAGAAATGGATCATTTAAAATATCATATATAAATACCATACAATAAACAAACAGATCAAGATATATATTACCCTCTCTATTTCCAAACACTTAATTAATAGAACTTTAAGGTCAGCTTCCTTACACATCATTATAAAAACTTCTGAGGGATTTGAATAATAACTTGGAGAAAATATTTGAACTATAGCATTGATTACAAGGTCTCATGTCAGTTCTAAGAATAGAACATAAAGTACACATTCAAATAGCAAAAGGATACAGTGGACAAAACAAAACATTAAAAAATGTAAGAGAAGTGACTTGATACATGCTAACAAAATTAAAATGTCAATGAAATTCATACTTTTTGGGTGCAAAAGTAATGCACCCAATGAAAAAATGCTTTAAGATAATGTTGAAAAAGCAAGATTAATCTTTTCTGAGGACAAAGAAATAGCTCTTAATATTGAGGTTCTGGTTTTTCAATTGTATCTTCTTAGGGTCACATATCTCCAGTAGGCAAAATCTCCTAAGACCAGTCATGTAAGCAAAATACCTTTAGTTCAAGAAATTTGCCCAAGTAAGAAAAAGGATGAGAAGAACACCACTTTGAATTCTATTCTTGTGAAGTTCATTATACATACCGACTTTAATACAAAGCTGTAACAAATAAAATCAGAATATACTTAAATATAATAGGAGGGTGAAAAACCATAAGGGGATATTCACATTGTAACTTTTACATACCAAACATTTATTATACTGCAGGCAGAAAAGGTTAAGCTTCTTGCAAGTAACAATTCAGAACGTTTGGGTCTGGATACATTTTTCACAAAGATGAAAGGAACATAAAATTAGTCACCCATAGCTTGAGAGTACAAATGTTGTACTTCACTTGGTATAGTTTTACAACCTGAACTAAATTTTCTCAGAAATCTTTATTTTAATTCTAACCAGAAGCTTACAATGTTTATTTCATGCCCAGTTCTTTAATTCAAAGCTCAAGCATCAGACAAGAGAAGTGAACACCATAGAAAAGATACTGCACTGTCCCCTGTTAAAGAGTTAAAACAGTTAATTCAGTCCTGTAAGAGAACGCAAATATGTTAATCTGCTTTTGAAGGAATCTTTGAGGACCAAAGGGAAAGGATGAGGTAACAGCTGGGACACCAGATTGAAAACAGTAAGACTGATCCAAAGAATGCCTTTATGGTCAATAATAATAACAATAATCATATCAAGAAAGACCTCAGTTTGAAGAATGAATTCTCTCAAATGACAGCAGTCAGGACTGCCTGAAAAAGTGGCGGAAATTGACAACTGTGAACGGGTAGGTAGCACCTCTAACAAGGAGCAGAGCCTGCAACTTGGTCTGGAAAATGAGAACTGTTCCTCAGTTGTAGATGCCCTGTACTTGTTGTGAGAACAACTGGAAGAAAAGAGAGTCCAGGAATCTTAGCATTTGTTTGAAGTTTGCCAGACCAGCCGAAAATTCTCATTATAATTCTAACTAAATTAGTGGATTTGGAACTGGAAAAATATTTATCAGGTAAATTTCTGTTTAGTAAATTCTACTCCTTAATGTGTTTAGAAGGGTTGTATGGAAGAGTTAATTGACAATATTAGTGTCAACATATTATCTCATATTAACACACTGTCACAAAAAAAAAGTTATTAAATTCTGAAGTTATACATTAAGGTTTGATTTCCTTTACAAAATATTCTTCCTAAAAAAATTGCATGTGATCAAAACTGTTATATGGATACAAACAGCTTTAGTTAATGTCTTGATAGAATATCATTGCTCAGATCTTACACTTAGGCCTAAATTCATCATAAGGGAAAAATTTCAAGAATGAATGAATAAATTAAACTGAAAGTTAGCCCTTTCTTACCAGCAGGAATTATGCCAATCCTTATATTGCACTGGACTAACGATGCTTTGGGATTATTTTGGTCTATGCCAGAGTCCTTCTGCATTCTTCCAATGAGACCATGCATCACTTCACTGAACATGCCGTCCCCACCAACACAAACAACACTGCCAGGAAACACAAATTAGAATGCACACTAACAGTCAATAAACAACACGGCAAGTGTTCTACTTAGGGCATGCACTGGGCACACCAAAAATAGTTGTTCTATTATCTTCCTTCATTTGTACAGGATATAGTAGCCCACAGTCAACTAGGCAATTAACAAAAAGCAAGAAAAAAAATTCAAGCTACAAAACTGCAAATGCACCTAGATATATCTGTAGCATTAGGAAAAAATGTTGAAATGCAACCTGCAAAAAACTTTATCCTCTACTACTATGTGCAGACAAACAAATATTAGTGGAAATTCACTATACAAATAAAACACTGAACGGGACTGTACATACGGCTTTTGAAGTACACAGAATGGAAATAAGATACTTTTACTAAAAAGGGAAAAGCTAACATTTGCCACCTCAGGCAGAAGTGTAGTTTACACCATTTAAAAGGAATATACATTAGATGAAAGTGAAAATCCAGAAAAGTGAATGCCTGCATCTTCTTTTGAACATGCTCAGATCTCATCAAATTGACAGAAGTCATTTATATCTACATAACCATTCATAAGGAGACAGAGTTCTAAATGTTACCAGATGCAAAACTTCGTTTCACAAGTTTAATACAGGTCAGAGCTGGTGCAGCAGCTGCACAGATCCTGAACATGTTAAAGCTCAGCAGTGAGCCCACACCCAAGCAGAAACTAGGAAGTAAAAAGACTCTTTTACAGCAATATACATTTTAAGAACAAGAATCAAATGTACTCAGCAAGCATAAACATTCTTTAACTAAACAAACTAATTCAAATACACTTTAAAGGAACACATGAGAAATCCAGAGTTACATATGTAGTTCCTAGCACACAAGTCTAGGAATGTGTACTGTTATCTATATAGCAATAATTTCCAACTCATAAACTAATATGCTTTCACATCATCAGCAGCAGATAATGCAGACTGAGCAAGACAAATTAATGTAATTTTTAAGTATAGATGACTTTAATTTTAGTTATTATTGCATTTTCAGCAGATGGAAAGCTGTCATTTTTTTCCATTAAACAATGGAAACAAAAACAGTCATTTTTTTCCATTAACAGTGAGTAAAATATTAAAAATGTGAACTCTCCAACTCTTAACTTAAGACCTAGGAAACAGAGAGAAGGAATAAAATGATATTTGTTTTCAATTTTTCTATTTTTTTTCTCTTTGAATAGTTTAACTACACTATTCCTGAATTTTAGCCTTATCTTGCTCTGCAGACTCAAAAAACTGGGCTAAAGAAACAAAAATTTCCATTTCAGTTCAAGGTCAGTGTAGCTTCAGTAGAAGTTTGCTCAAAGCTCCATCCAGCCTGGCCTTTAACATTTCCAGGCATGGGGAATCCATGACTTCTCTGGACAGTCTTTTCCAGTGCCTCTCCACTCTCACAGTAAAGAGTTTCTTACTTAAACCTAATCTAAACCTTCCCTCGTTTAGTTTAAAACTTCCCTCTTGTCGTATTGTTATATGCCCTTGCAAAATGTCCCTCTCCAGCCCCCTTTGAGGTCCCCTTGAGGTACTGAAATGTGCTCTGAAGTCTCCCTGGAGCATTCCCTTCTTCAGGCTGAATAAGCTCAGCTCTCCCAAACTGTCTTCACAGTAGAGGTGCTCCAGCCCTGTGGTCATCTATAACAAACACTATATCCAGACTCAGAGGGGACAGTTATATCAATGTCTATATCTACCAAAGGTAAATTTGATAAAAACTTCACATATGCAGTAACAGCACAACCAAATTCACAGGAAATATCAGAAGACCAATGTACAAGTCAGACATATACTGCACATGTGAAGGCCTCTGGTGAAAAATGTCTGAAAGAAGCATCTTAGAGTGATTGTTTCTTGTTGGCTTTATTTTACTAGAGGGAGAGCATTTAACTTTTTAGATAGATGACAACAGAAAACAACATCTGCTAGAGGACTTCAGAAGCTAACTCACAAGTAAATTGAGTTTTTAAGAACTACAGTCCCTTCTTATCTCAGTCATTCTATGAACTAATTGAAAAAGTAGGGAAAAAACCCCAACCAGAAACAATTTTACAAAGGCCTGTGGAACAAATATATGTATAAGAAAGCACAGTGCTATGTGTCACAGCTTCCAAACATGGCTGTTACCTGCATGATATTACAGCATGTTCTAATTGTTCTGCACAGTGATGCACAAAACCCTGCTATGCTGTAACCAAATGAGTACTTTAAGTGACTGTGCTTAAAGAAAAGCTGTTCTGTCATTGAGCTATTAGGTGACTACATTCACTGTAAGAAATTCCTATAAGGCAAAATAGGAACACCTTATTCCTATAAGGTAAAATAGGAAGAAAAAACAGGAAACACATATAAGATATTTAAATGAGCTGTCTAAAGTAAAACATTTGAAAAGAAGCAAAGCGATTATCATTAAGAATCCTGTATCTACTTGCAGAATTCCATGTATGGCTTTGCCAAATAGGGAATCTGGAGATGAAATGAAGAAATTCATCACTGAATGAAGGGAAAGCCACACATCAGAACCAGTCTACAGGGACAGCTGAACATCAGTTAGATGCAGGAATCCAAAGAACCTTTTACCCTGTGTGAGGGAAGTCAAACCTGAAGAAACACATATTTATGTGGTTCAACCATTTTTTAAATTTTCAAGATAACCACTTAATCAGCTATTTAAAAAGTAGTTTTAATTCAGGAAGTCCTTCCTAACATCACTGTTGACTACAGAAAAAGAGTTGTATATGATGGACAAAAGTTAGGCTTGGAAAGACAGGCTGCAGATCCCAAACAAACTGCCACTCAGGGCTAACCCAGGAATAGAAGAATCCTAAGAGTCTAAAAAGATGCAGTATTCTGGCCTATTGAGCATCTTGGAATGTTAGAGAGACAAAAAAAAAAAAAAAAACACCACCCAAAAAATCCCCAAAACAAGCAAACAAAAAACCCAAAGGAAAAAAATTCTACAACATGAGACTGAATCTGCCAAAACCACTTCAGATACTACCACAACTGGTCACTGCCACTTCCTGTAAAAAAAAATTTACTAGGAGTGGGCATGGGCTCATTTCCCTCCCTTTCTGCTCTGTATTGAAATTTCACCAACCATAAGTACAGTTATTTCAAATCACAGATCAAATGAAAAGGAAGAATAACAACTAACTAGGTTTATCTAGGAACAATGCTTCCCTTCCTTGAACTTCTGAAAAATTAAGAAAAGTCAGAGTTATAGACAAAACTTTTTATTTGAAGGCAAGTCATTTTAAAGCAGGTGAAGTCTGGGAACTCAGCCTACGAATGTCATTTCATACTAACACTCTTTCCTAACACACACAATGTATATAGCAAAGTACCACAGCAAAACTACTCTGAAAAGACTCAATGTGTTTTCTTTTTGCAACTTACCAGTTTAAATGTACCTGTCAACAGGCACAAAAAAGAATTCTAAAATACTGTAGTTATGAAAGCTTATCTGCATACATTTTCATGTTTTTTCAGACATGTAACTTTCATGTCATGGACTGGAAACTGAAATTACCATGGCATTTTTATTAAAATATTCTGCTTCTACAGCAGACTCAATAATGGAATGTAAGATCACCATTCAGTCAGACCTTCTTTTAAAGCAATAACTTTGAAACAGAAGAAATGCAAATAAATGTAGCCACACTGTTGAACAGTCATATACAGCAAGAGGAACCACCTGAAACATTTCTGAACAGTCCATGTTTTTACACACAGGCTGAATGCTACTGGTGCAGGGTTCTGAACTCAAGTATGTCAAGACCACTAAACATTTCTGGGTAGCTTTTGAGCCATAACAGAATGCTCAACTGAGCAGAATTAATCTAACATTCATCTTTTGAACACAAATCTCATGCAAACACTGTTACACTATGCTCGAATATATTGCGTTGAACAAGTTTACTGAGACAGTTTACTTTTCTTTTTATACTCCTAAATGTGGATCTCCTACAAAAAGGAACATGCCCCAGGACTTTCAGCTGTTGCAATAAATGTATTAGTAATGAAGGCTACCCTTTTAAATTAGAGACAGGAACAGACCAATTACATAATTATTGGCTCAAAAATAATAAAAAAAGGCAAGCAAACTTACTTACCCATCATATTTATAAATATTAACTTCAAATAAGTTGTCCTTAGCATGGTTAGCATGTTCAGTTACTGTGAAGAAATAAACACATGAAAATTTATTATCAAAAACTACTATAAAGGTATATATAATATAGAATTATAAAAATAAATTCATTAATAACCATGATTGTATTACCAATGTGACTATAAAACAGCCTGTCCATAAGATGTGTCTCAAAAGATTTTTGCTAGGGAAAAAATTAAGGAGACATACATAGTGCATATGGAAAAAATATTTCAGTAAAAACTGTGCAAATGATCTATTAGTTTTAACAGTGAAACTGAAAAAGAGAAGAAAGGCAGAATCTTTTATGTAGAGCTCAAATAGCTCAGGACCACAAGAAGTTTTATTTTAGTAAGCAGGAAGCTGATAGAAGGTTGTTTTCTAAGTATAGCATAGGTAGCCAGATAAATGGCATTCTCTACCATTTTCTTTCATGTCCTTAGTGAGAAAAGGTAACTAACAGAAAGAACTTCAGCTACTCAGGATTGTTTTAGAGTTCATGCTGTGCTTATTAAGAAATTAAAGTACTCATTACTCACCAACAACATCAGTGGATATAGAAGCCAGACTGAAGAGTGGAGCAACTTTCTGTTCATAAATCCTCTTGCCTTGTCTTTTTCCTCCAAAGGGATTAATATACACAAGCAGCTGCTTTGGTCTAGACTCTGCAGTAAGGAAAACCATAGTGCACTGCTTTTGTACACAAACCAAAAAATTCATCAAGCCATACAAATCCAACCTATTAACAAAGCAAACACAGCCTAATAGACCTGTAACTCTTTAACAAAGAGTTAGGCACTGCCTCTGCTATGATCACCCTTGACCTCCTTTCTGTCAGTTTCTCTGCTCCTGCTGCTTCTTGACATCTTTCAAGGTATCTCTTTCAGGAATAATGCCTTCAAACTTACATTTAACCTCCCATGAAGTAGATGTCCAAGAGTCTCAGAAATTACTAATGGGAACTCTTATTACATAAAACACATTTTCTTGATGACAGAGTCTAGAAAGGTGAAACACACCCATAAATCTTCCAATTGCTACAGTCCTTGACCTCAAATCTCTAGAGTACCTTAAATCCCTGAGCTCACATCTGCCCATTACTTTTTCCAAAGCTACAACCATTTCAAGCCTATGCTAAGCTTCCAAGGTGACTTTATTTTGTGAAAATAATTTATATCAGGGCAAAATTGTATGACACAAACAGTCTTGACTGATTAAAGCACTCAGTAAAACTTAGTGAACACATAAGATAAAGTAATGATAAGGAAACACTTCAACTCTTGGCTCCCTCAATTTTTGAGCATAAGCTGCTCTTAAGAGTTAAAAAAGCAGATATTTCAAAATAACATTGATTGATGTACATGCCTCCAAAATGATGGTGCAAATGCTCATAGTTTATTCAAACTTACTCTGCATTTCAAGTAGTTCCTTCAGTGCCTGTGTCCACTGATTACACAAGTGCTCATCAACACACCAGAACGTCGCAGCACTGCACCGCCAGCGGTGATTTCGGGCTTTCTTCACAAAATGCACTATTTAAATTCAAAAAACCAGCAAACAAAGAAAAAAAAACAGCATAATGAGATAGTTCTGTGAAACGAAAACTGCATTTCAGAAAGATCTCCAAAATACTGACCTGTAATTAACCTCCACTACACACTTCTACAAATGACAGAAGCATTCAGAGTATGACCAGCATATTTGTAGAGTCCAAATGAAAACATAAATGAAAACACTCGCTAACAAGCAGACACCCAAACAAAGACTTCTTTTTAAAGAAGTCATGTCTCATCAACTTATTATAGACATACTTGTTCAGAAGTTCAGTGAGTTTACATATTATCTGTATTAAAGTCTGCAATATCTACATAAAAAGCCACAAGCTTAAGAAGATAAGCCATGCTGACATCAACTCTCATGTAACCAACAGGGTGAATTTATTCTATAAAGCTGAAGTTTGAGAAAAAAATATTTTGTTTTCTTATGGATTATGACCTTATACTTACACTTCATATACAGTATCTCAAATCACTCTTACTAGATAACTAAAGGTGAGGAAAGTACAGCATAAAATTCTGGCATGACATCTTTTTAGCATAGAAGTCATCACTCTTTTCCTAAATCAGACACATATTCCTGGCACTTTGTTTTAAGAATGCAGTCAATAATACAAAGTAACTGTAATGCATACATCCTGATGGTTAGGGGTAATTTAAACCATTTAGGATACATTCTTTCACCCTCTCTCGATTTTCTGGTCAAAAAGTAGAAAGCAGGTGTCCTGCAGCAGTCATTCAGCAGCAGAAAGACTCCAGGGTGAACACTCAGACATTAGTTTTAAATTCATTAAAAAATAGCTAAACACAGCATGTGATCTTAAAGGAAGAGTTTTATTTTCCAAATAAGGATCTTTAAATATAAACCAACAGATTTTTGGTGGGGTTTCTTTTGTTTGTTTTTTGTGGGACTTTTGCTTTGGTTTATTTCAGTTTGGGATTTTCCTGGGGATTTTTGTAAAATTTTTTTGGGGGGGGGGGGTCTTTTATGGTGGTTTTTTTGGGTGTTGTTTTCGTTTTCTTTGGGTTTTCCTTTGGTTTTTTGGGTGTGGAGTTTTATTCAACACATCATTTCTGTTAAAAAACCTCCAAAACTTTGACAATTCCTTTTGAGTCTGCCTTAAGCTATCTTCACAGAATGGCAAGCACAAGCTCCAGAGACTTATTTGCCTTACCTGTGAAAGCATGTAGCTTTGCCATTTTTTGCCATCTGCCAATGTTACGTTGTTTCTTGTTAAACTCAGTTTCCTCTACAGCAATGATCTCAGAGATGGGTACAACACAGTTTTCTGTATGAACACAAGATCTTACATGTTAGAATCTTCAAACATCACCTGAATGATTATTTCTATACCTAATATGATACAGATATATGATTAGAGCAGTTGCTCAATAAGCACAACCAAGAGCATAACTAGAAATTTCCTGAATTCTTTAGTCAAAGCGCATAATCCATGACCACCTACCAACTACCCAAAACAGTATTTTAAATGCTTATGATTTCTCAGAAAATAAGGTATTTCATGTATAAAAATATTTTTGCATGAAGCCAAAATCCAGAAACATTGATTTCAGAGTAATTAAACTGCCCCTTCTGTGAGGCCTAGTCCAGATACTTGACAGTGAACAGCACAAGCTATTTCAAAGAACGTGCAACTAAATCTAGAGCACAGACTACAAAGGCTATTTGTTATTGTCAAGTAAGTATCTGGCTTATGAAAGAAGGGCATTCATACGAATTCTTAAGATTTTAAATCCCACTAAGCTTTTAAAGTTTAGTATCTCTTAAGAGAAATCTAGATGTTATGTTTATGTACTGTGAAATATTTTCCTCGCACCAACTTCAAACCTGTTTTTCAGAGTTAAAGACCTCTTGTTCTCAGACTATGAAATAATTTCCTCCAACATCATTCCCTTTTCTCCTATAGTTCCTAAACATTATCTCAGACTTCTTAACTCCTCTCAAATTGAACACTTTTGTCTCATTTCCATTACTGATTTCGACATTGTTCTGTTGTTACTTCACCTCAAAAAAGTGAAACTTATAAGGTATGCTTTGTATTTATGTACAAGCAAGTGCCCTCTGTATGCATATACCTGTAGAAAAGATTTATATTACTATAATAATATAGTCTTATGTAAATAATCTCTTATATAATAAGAATTATAATATTCTTTCTTCTCTCACGCACAAAGGGAGTGATATCAAGATATTTGACACATTAAATACAGACAACAATACCATTGTTACCAGGGTTTATTCTACATTTCATTTCCCTCACTGTCTTGCAGCAGTACAGTGGAAGTGGTGAGGAATGTAAAATGAGTGAAAAGTTTCCCTAACCTCTTCACACTGATTATTGCAATTCATTTGCCACTATTTAATTGGTTTAGTCAAAAGAGTCTTTACATATCATCAGATGTATTGACAATTGGTGGACTACTCACTCAAGGGGTTTTGGTATTTGACATGATTTATACCCATTTTGAAATTTTATCTTCCCTGAATTTTTTAGCATAATTCAAAAGAAATGTAACCTTCAAACTTTACTCTGAGGTCATTTAGGAATCTGGCTGTATTTGAATGTTTCAACTTAAAAACAAATTTCACAGCTTATAATATTTACTATACTCAAGGCACAACAGGGAAGTGCAGCAGTCACATAATGTTGTTATAAACATCCAAGAGCAGAGATAAACTCTGAGATGTATGATTCTGTATGTACTTACTGTATATACACAGTATATACAGTAAGTACACACTAAGACTATATCTACTACTGGACAGTAACAGTTATTTGGTCTTCCTAACAAATAAAAGATCTGCTAATATGATTAACCTATACATTTATCCAAAGAAAAAGAAATACAGAACAGAGATGGAACAATAAAGGAAAGGAAGTACATTCTTTAATCTTTCTTTTCGAAAACTGCTTCTACTTATTTTTCTACTGGCTTTGCCACTGATCCATATGTCAAAATATGAAAGAAAGCTTGTTGCATCTATGAAGATTGCATTTAAATGGTAATTTGTTTTTTTACTCCTCAAAGATATGCAATAAAACTTACAAACGACACATAGATCAAAATTTAAATGACAATGCTCTAAATAACATTTTTGGAAATAGTTGTACATAGTGCATACTTATTAGTATGTATGCTGGGAGCAGCAAGTGAAGTAATTATCTTATTAGGCATTTTTTATATAATAAAGCTGTCCAACTGAACAGATAGCTAATCAATTTTAAAGTACTTCCAAATCTCTATCACTGAAAGCATTTCTTTGGAGTATATACTTCAGCACACATTACACAGCTTATATTGACCTTGAAACTACTTATAAGCTCTCCTAATTTGGTGTTCCCCCTCTGATAGTTGCATGACTGTTTTGATTTTCCAGCAAATCTCTTCAGAGTCATGGCAAAGAAAAGCAAAAAGTAAATATTCTTAATTTATATGTATTTTTTTTAATCTTATGGCACCGGAGTTACAAATCTGAAAAACAGATTCCTGAAAAATGGGAGGGGAAAAAACCAAAGGAACAAAAGTGAAGAACAGATCCCACTCTCCATCTGTAAACCCTTGGCTTTGGTGAAAGTCTGGGGAGTTTCTTTTCTGGGTATACCAGCTCTGTCGATTATACCCCTCAGTACTACACAGCACCATAAAAGCACCAAGCAACTCCACTGTCCTGACAGCACACTCCAATCTTGAGCAGTCAGAAATCACACACTACTGAACCCAGTAATTGCAGATGGCCAGAAAGATGCAGAGCTGTCTCAAATAACATGTGTATTCAGAACATTCCCTACTGCTTGTAACAACAAATTCTAATGTGCTTGAATAGAACTCAAGAATTTCTATCAGTCCAAATATCTCTATCACTGTTTGACTTAGTGCTACACAGAATATTGTTTCATCACATTGCAAACCAACTACTTAGTCCCACCCCATCCCCTTTTCCCTGAAAGGAGGAAGCTTTCAATGTGAAGCAGAGACCTTCAGTACGAGCACAACAGTCCAGTTTCCAGGAACACAATGCCCTCATCTGCCATTTAGTCACCAAAACCTGCCCCACAAAACATAGTACTAACCCAGCCTCTCTTGAAGCTTCACATATTACACAGCTTCACTAATTATATTCCTTTCCCACAGCTACTTTTGGAGCATTTACCCTATTATCAAGTAGCATGAGACATTTATTTCACTGACATAGCATAAAGGTGTTCACTCAAAGGTCTTCACCTTAAAGTGTTTCTCCCAAAACACGGAAAACCTTATTGCCACGTTAACAAAACACACACACACACAAGTTACTTACTCCAGTACTACAAGATAAACATTAATGAAAAAAGGTTGAAATATAGGCTCAGACAATATCAAACGAAGAATTTTACTTGGCTCAGTCCAATCTATTCAACCAAGCAGCACACAACAGCTTCTAGACAAAATTTTCACCATGGTCAATGATTAGCATATTAGAGACAGAGAGCTGACCATCCACAGAAGGTGGACAAAAGGGTATGGCAAAAAAAGGAGTAAAAAGTCAAACAAAATACACAGTAAACAGGTGACAGTCTTCTCAGCACTCTGGCTGTGCCAGTCATTACTCATTCTGGGTCACAGTGCTCTTAATCTTAACATTCTTCCTAAAAGCAAACTGATAAATCAGTGGAACGCTGGATTAGATGCACACTTTTCTCACATTAAACAAGTGGGAGAGGGGGAAAAAAACACCCCACAGAAACAAAACCAAGGTAAGCACATTAACAGTGGGCTTTCTTTGTGCAAAATGCAGCCAGCAGTTGGGAAGTGTGTTTTTCTGCATTAAGAAAAGATTTTTGGTGTGTCATGGCTGTCTGCCACTCCCACAGAACACTTCCTGAGTCTATGAGCACACACTCACAACTCCAGTCAAGACTTGTTCATTCATCATTGTCAGCTACATATCCTACAGACCAAACTTCCCCCTCACAAAAGTGTCAGCTCAAGGCAACCTAGACCCATGCACAAGCACAAAAATGTTGCCAATCACAGCATTTGGTTTATTCTTAAAACTCAGCTGAGGCCCACAGATGCAGCAGCATTTAGAATTAATTTAAACTATTAGTACATTCTCATGACTTAAAAATATAAACAATGAAAAAGCCGAAATATAGGTTTAAAGAAAAAGTGTATTTTCAGTCACTTTGAAAACTAACTTGCTGTTAGAGCCCACATGAAGAGTCAAGCTTTAAGATTTCAGATTTAAGATTTGCCTTCACCTAAAAGCAAGAGAACAGGGATACTTTCTATCAGAAGGTACATGGTATTATATCAATCATGCACTATAGAAAGCTGTGTTTAATAAACACTAGAGTAAGAGAAGGTAGGATATTGAGCAGAATTACTGACAATTCACATCCTAAAGGAGGGGGAAGAAAAAAGGTATCACAATTGATTTAAATCCTGTGGAGGAGTCACAAACATCCAAAGACCATGATTTCACCGTGTACAGCCATGTACAAGGAAATTTCCCTATTTTATTTTAAAGTAAATCTTGAAGTACTTTGTAAACCAACAGACCAGTTTCTACTATGATCACACAGCTACTTCACATCACACAAATCTGAATCAAAGCACAGCAATTTGAACTTGGGTCAACCTGAATATTTAAATCATTCTATTGAATGTCTTCCCACTGTTTCTTCTGCATTTCCAAATAAAATCTTTCCTGCTCAACTACGAATATTTCAATTATAAAGCAGGGAGTAAGATGCACTTATTCACCTTAAGGAGGGGGAACAACCCAGCAGAAAGGTGTATGCTAAAGAGCATGCATTGTTTAATGGAGTGTATTTGAATAATGTAACTCCCAGAAAACAACACACTCCAAAGAGGCAATGCCTGCTGCAGCAACTGCTCCCCACATCCTCCCTGGGCAATGCAGTTGTGGCATTGCCTACAGAGAAACGCGGTTCACATTTCTGCACACGCCCGCTGCCAGCTGGGAATGACTGATGACAAATGACCTTGACCACGGATGTGCCAACACTCTGCAGGCACCAGGTGCTGGACAGACCTTGCTGCCAAGCTGGCCCACCCTCTGCTAAGTGCCCTGTCTATCAAACTGAGCTTTCTTTAGAATCCACCAGAATGACAGCAGTGCTGTGAACAGCAGTACTGAGGTTTCCTCAGGCGGTTGTTTTGGAAAGGACACATGGAAGAGAATTCTGAAATACAAAGGCTAAAAGAAAGCACACACTGTAAGTGAATGCATAGAGCTGAGGGTCTAGTTTGGTCAGCCCCTTCATGTTTGTACTTTAGCAAAAAAAAAAAAAAAGCTAGAAAAATGATAGGAGAATCTCATTCTGCATTTGTAATGCTTTTAGTACCAGGCACAATAAAACTTTAGCCAATGCTTCTGAAATACCTCTAAGTATATATGTACAATATACACTCTGCTATGAATTTGGTACAAAAAGTTTTATCATGTGTTACTTGACAAAAACCTGACTCAGCCATCAACATGAGGGAAATAATAAAACAATTTAGCTGACCAGCTTTGCATATGCTATTTATGATTCATGACTGAATCTCATGGAAAAATGTAACAAGGTTGAAAAATATAGCTCATCCAAAAAAATTAAAGATGAAGGCATCCCTAGGAAAAAAAGATGCACAGCTGAAAGTAACAGAGAAACACATGAAAATTTACAGGTCAAGGTTTTCCATGTAAGTTCAAACATGTCTAACCATCAAAGAACAGGAAACAGGAACCTGATTACGCTGAAGAGAGAACTTTAAACTATGATGCTGTTAAACAAAGTCTAACAGTAGGAAATTGTATTTCAGAATTTAAAAATACACCATGAGTTGAACAAACATTTGATGTTTTTGTTGTTGTTGGTATCTTCCAAATAACAGCATTAAAAAGAATTGTCCTGAATTAATACTTCTGCATTTTGACAGAATAGGATTTAAATACACATACACACACACACACATATATATACACACATGTATGCATATAAATATCACTGTACAGAGATGAGAAAACAGAAGAATCTCCCCATACCCTCCAAAACTACATGTATTTTCCTGGAAAACAGGACAAAGTCTGTGTTGTTTCCTATCTGTTCCTAATTTTGGATGCAACAGGGAAAGGTAAACATTTTAACACTTCTACACCTAGCTATAGTTCTAGTTCTGTACATGTCAGGGTCTGAAAACCTTGAAAAAACATATACGAAACAATTTTCATTTATATACCAAAATTCAAGACAGTAATAAATGCTCTGAAAATACGCAGGCTGAATTGTTACAGTTTAAAGACAACTGGTTCACTGTAATAGCTACCTACTAAACAAGAAATATAGCACTTTCATACTCCATAATTTAGTCTGTATTTAGACACAATGTAGTCATGTAGTCAAAGGCTAAATGGTAGAAAGATACCAATCTTGGTCAAGCAACTCTTCTGAAATTACAGGTTTCTAACTAACCACCTTCCATATTATTAAGTTTATTTATATATTGTCATGTATGCTGCTCATATTTCCAAAATAATTGTAGAGAGCACAATGAATCATCATTGGTCTTAAAAAGAGCTTGGAGACAACAGGGCAGCAATAATACAAAAATATGAGGAAATTAAAGCTCAAATGCAGGGAACACATGAATTAATGAGTGTGTAAAGAAGAGAAGGTACATTATCTATTGTATTGAGCCCCACATAAATTATACCTGTGCCCCCAGAACACTTAGGCAATTCTTTTTCTTCTCTTTTCTCTTGTCATTTCACATGATGTTTTCCAAAATATTGTGAATAGCTGTGCTACAAGACAGTGGCCGCACTCTAACCACACTTGCCTCTTACAGCATCTCCAGCTGGGTACTGCTCCAGAAACTGCCTCATGTCTAACTCATATTTAACTCCAATTTACTGTGTCCCACTGTCCTTCCACCTCTCCCAGAATTCTGACATTGGGAACATGCTTCAGGGCAGGTGTATACACTGTTTGGTCTACCAGGAGGAAGTCAAGAAAACTTACAACTTAAAAAGTAGTAAGAATTCACAAATGCAAGCAGCTGTAAACTTCAGAGTGCTCATGAGAGAGCTGGTGTCAATCTGTGGCACTCGTGCTTGGTCTAAAGGAATTCATCAGACAGGAGAATGGCACTCCCCTTGAACTTGCTTTAGCCAACACATCAGTCTCCTAGTGACTTTGCAAAGGCATTTTTAGAAGGATTGCACACAATTCCACCAAATTATTCCCAAAGTAAGGGCTAGGTTACCTAGTGGGAGCAATTATCCCAAAAGGCCTTGAAACTTTCTATTCTAAATTTAAGATCCAGCTACCTTTATCTAGACTAATTTTACATCATTTTGAAAAGTATACAGCCTATTTTTCACAACAATGTTTTAAGTTCAGCAGAATCAAAGAATCAATTTGTCCTTAAAGTCTAAAGTTCCTTTAACTGAGAAAAGTGCAGGAATTTTTGATTACTTTTTTCATCAGTATTATTGATGAACATTAGATTATGTCAAACTACTTGCACAGTAGCAAGGGAAGGATAACAAACTCTATTTTTGTATTATGAATGAGAAGGGTTGTACTTAAAACATAACCAAATCTCAGTTATGTAAATTGTCGCACCAAATTCTTACAATTCTTGAGTTCTCTTTCTCCTTTTTCCCCTCACATTCCTGAAAAAAGCCTCAGGCCAATAGGATATTATGATAAAATCTGAAAAATATTTAATGAAGGTACATGGTAAGAATGGAAGAACTATTTAACTATTTAAGTTTGGGGACTTGCCAGGGATTAGAAACATCTATATTCAAACCTTTCTCAGATAAAGCTTCTAGTCAGCCTTTCTATTATGAGTGTCTGTCTCAGATCCTACAACCTCTAAAGTGGGGGTGACATCAGTTTTCAATTCTATAGCAACTGCTGTGAAAAAAAGGACATTACACATTTTTAAATGTTCCCATGCCATGTTAATATGGCTACATTAACAATGGGAATCATTACTATATAAAACCACCGAAGTCAAAGACGCTGAAAAAATACCTGTCAAAAGTACAGTAGAAAGTTTGATATGTAAACATCCTTGCAAGTTAATCTGATTTTTTTCAGGTATTTTCATCAGTGACCTCTCAGACTGGCAGTTTTGTTCATTCACACTATGCTAACTGCACGAAAGGGGAACTATAGAAATCTTTGTTACCACACTGCAAACCAGTAGCCTATATTAAATATTTCCAAACCAGTAAATCTCAAAAGTTAAACTTGCTTTGTAAAATTTCCACTAAGCCCCTGAGAAAGCTACGAGTTTTGTAAAAAGCTCAAAAAAGCCGCAACCCAAATAACAAAAGTAGCCATTGCCTGAGACACTGACCCAGTATGAAAGTGTTTTTAACCACAAGCCCTGTTGTAACTAAAAAAAAAAACAAAATTGCTTTTAAGGTTTTTTAAGTCTCTTATGTACTGCTAGGGCTACTTTAAATACATAACAAACTATATGCTTCTCCGTACTCGCGGCGCCAAGAAACAATGTGTTTCAGCCGAACAGATGAGTGTTGTGCCCGGACAGGTGTGTCCCCGGTGCCACCGGCGGCACGCTGGGCACGGATGCTCGGCCGGGCTGCTCCGCGACACGCGGGACGGGCTGCGCTCGCTCACAGGGGCTGTGAGAGCAGCTCTCGGCTTTGTCTGGGAAGGCACAGCCCGATCAGCGCCCAGCACAGCCGGCGGTGTCTGTGCCCTTCCGAGCACGGTCCCGCCTGCATCTCCCCGCTCCGAGCGCCCTGCCCGGCCCCGTGTGGGACCGGGCCACCCTCCGCCCTCGGTCGGATTCCGAACCCGGAGGCGCCGCACAGGCGCCCGAGGGCAGGAAGCGCTCACGCCGGCGGAGCTCGCCGGATGCTCAGCGAGCCCCGGGCGCGGAGACTCCGCCGCGGGCGCCGGGGCAGCGCTGGCCGCAGGCCGCCCCCGCCGGCACCCGCGCCGAGGCACCGGGGACGCCGCGGACGCCCTTCCTTCCCCCGCCGCCGAGGGCAGGCGCCTCCCGGGAGCCCCGGCCCGCCCCAGGCCGCGGCAGGTGCGTCCCGGCCCCCGGCCGCCCCACTCACCGCCGGCGCGGCGCGGCGGGCGGGGGTCGCGCCAGGCCAGCCGCCCCCGCTCCTCGTCTAAGGTGACCTCCCAGGAGCGCCGCCCCAGCCCCAGCGAGGACACGAGCCGCGGCCGGCGGCCGCCGGGGAGCCGCTCCATGGCCGCCGAGAGCCCGGCCCGCCGCAGCCGCTACCGCATGGCCCGGCGGAGCGGGCGGGCGCCGCGGGGCGAGCCCAGCAGCTGCTAACGGCGCCCCCGGCCCGCCGCTACCCCGGCTGGCCCGGGCGAGGCGGGCCCGGCGTCAGCGCTACGCCAGCGCCGCGGGGCGGGGCCGCGGCTCCGGGGCGGCGGCGGCTCCCGGATCGGGGCCGGGGCCGGGGTAGCGGGCACGCCTTGTGTTCTCGGCCCGCTGGAGAGACGCGTGCCCTACGGCCCTGCGGCCCACCGCAAGCCCCCAGCTCCGGGCAGAGACCCCAGGGCTGACACCCCGGTGTACGGGCTTGGATTGCTTTCGTGGGGTTTTTTTGCGGGCGACGAAGAACCTATGTCAGTGAGGATGGACTCTTCCCTCTTTCCCTTTAGACAGTGAAAATGCAATGAGTGCATACAAATGTCTGGTGATACAAATTTCTCCTTCTAACTTCACATCCCTTTGCATAAAAACGTTTTAGGTTTGCCTTAATTATAGGGAGAGTAACTCACTATGATTGAGCTCTTAATTCTTTGCTGCCTCACCCCCTTGGTGTTGCTGAAGCGTAAAACCATCAGCATCATAACAAAATATAGACCAGACAGAGCAGCAACCAGCCTTCCTCCAAATCTGAGTGCTTCCTACAGAGTTTAGTAGAAAACATCTCTGGTCTGTTCTCACCTGGGTCCAGCCCAGGGCTAGCACTCCAGCTGCCTTTGCTCAGGCTGAAAAAGCTTCTGCACTTCAGCTCTACTCTGAACCTTATATATGCATATTTCACTCACATTTTACAAGGGGGAATAGAGCAAGGGGGAATAACTTTTAATTGAAAGAGGGTAGGTTTAGATTAGATATTAGGAAGAAATTCTTAATTTCTCACCGCCACTGTGGAGGTGGTGAGACATTTTAACAGGTTGCCCAGAGAAGCTGTGGATGCCCCATTCCTGGAAGTGTTCAAGGCCATGTTGGATGGGGCTCTGAATAAGCCCATCTAGTGGAAGGTGTCCCTGCCCATGGCAGGGGGGTTGGAAAAAGGTGATCTTTAATGTCCCATCCAATCTATTCCATTCTGTGATTCTATTATTTCATCTCTGAAAACAAATGAGCTAGGCACTGTCATCCAAGTTACATGTTGAAGATAGTCTTCATGTACAACAAATGCTAGTTGTCATCTATCACAGTCATTCCAATAGTCTTTCCTCTGGCCTTAAAAGACATGATATTACCTTTATTGGTAAACAAACCTAAATTGCCTCACTTCCACAATGTCGAGGAATACTTTGTCAGTCGATTTGTTCTTTACATTTTTTAATCTGTCCCTCCACAAACACCTGTAGAGCTCTTTATACTAAGAGTTAAAGTTTGTTGCAAAAGTCCATTGTGAACAATAATCTGCCAAGTGCAGTTCTGAGCAGTCATTAATATCTCACTGGTTTCTTGTATTTTGCCACCTGCATCATCTCTTATCATCCATCTTGCTCTTGGGTGGCGTAGTGGGTTAACCCTGTTTGGATGCCAGGCATCCACCAAAGCCTATTGCTCCCCTCTGTAGCTGGAAAGGGAGAGAAAATGTAACGAAGTGTTCATGACTGAAATGAGGACAGAGAGAGATCGCTCACCAAATACTGTCACAGGCAAAACACACTCAAATTAGAGATAATAATTGAATTTATTACTAAGAAAATTAGAGCAGGATAATGTGAAATAAAGTAAGCCCTTAAAAACACCTTCCTCCACCCCTCCCTCCTTCCCTGTTTTATCTCCTTCCCCTGCAGAGGCAGGGAAATGGGGCATGGGGTAACTCAGTCCATCACGCATTGCTTCTGCCGCTGCAGGGAGAGTCTTTCCCCTCCTCCAACATAGGCTTCCTACCACAGGAAGCTTTTGCTGTTGAACCCTTCAGACATGGTCCAAGACTGAATGGATCACTAATACAAAGCTGTTATCTTAAAGATATTACACAGGGGTACTTATTTATCATTTCTCCAATGGGCAAAGTAGATCTAATCTTTTATAGCCTACAGTCACCAAAATCAATATTCTTGAACTGTGATCCATGTTAGCTGAAGAAGTAAAAAGTTCATTCCTTTTACCATTCCTGCCTATGATGGTTTCCTTTTATTCTTATTAATTTAAAAAAAATCCTTTTCCTTACTTAAGGCTGAAGTCTTGAACTGTAAAATACAGAACTGATAAAATATTCTCTGGTTTGTTAGATGCCTACTAAAGTGTACCAGCACCACTAGCAGGAATAGCATCCAATAGCATTTCTTACTTGTTTAGATAAGAAAAAGCCACTTCTTTCCTCCTTGCACACTGTTTTAGTGTTTTGTTCACAGAATCACAGAATGGTTAAGTTTGGAAGGGACGACGGTGGTCATCGAGTTCAACCTTCCTATTGAGTCAGGGCCATCCTAGAGCACATTGCGTAGAATTGCATCAAGATGGTTCTTGAAAATCTCTGGTGAAGGAAGCTCCACAACCTCTCTGGGCAGCCTGTTCCAGTCCATGGTCAGCTTGACAGTAAAAAAGTTCTTCCTCATGTTCAGGTGGAACTTCCTCTGCATCAGTTTCTGCCTGTTGCCTCTTGTCCCATTGTTGGCATTACTGAGCAGAGCCTGCCTCCATCTTCTTGGCATCCACCCTTCAGATACTTGTATATATCAATGAGATCTGCTCTTATTCTTGTCTTCTCAAGAGTGAAAAGGCCCCTCTTCCTCAGCCTGTCCTCATAAGAGAGATTCTCCAGGGCCTTCATCATCTTTGTTGCCCTCCACTTGGCCTGCTCCAGGAGCAACATGTCTGTCTTGTGTTGAGGAGCCCAAGCTTTGGGGTACTCCATTCTGCTGCAGGAATGTCTTGCAGGAATTCTTACCTTTGCTTTGTTGGATCTGCTCTGGTACTCTCTGGTAGATCCCTAAATATCAATATGTGCATCTGTCTCTAAAAAGTAAAGGTCAAATTTGAGCCAACATATTTTTATTTTCAGTCAGTTTTAGTACTTTATGTTTTTCTTCCGTGGTTGTAACAGAGAAATAATTTCTAAAGGACGACTGACTTAGTAGACTAAAGCACACACATCAATTATTGTTTTACTACTTATTACCTAAGCCTATAATTACCACTGAGGGGACATTACTGTGGATGCAGTGATGCCAGTAAATTGCAGGATTTATTGCCTTGGTGGTAAAGATGTCCCATCACAGGGCTACATCCTGAGAAATGGCACAGTTGTAAAAACACCTCACTTTATTCACAGGTCTAGAGAGGCCACAGGAAAGGTTGCAATTGTAGTTAACTTGGGAACAATAATACATTATGTAACGAGTACAATTCACAATGTCAAATGGGAAGAATGCAGGAAGGTAACACAACTTACAAAGTTTATTGCTATGATCCATTTACTACCTATCTAAAAAACAACACAGTGTTTAAAGCCAAATTTCTCTCCTCAGTGTCTGAGTTTAGAGTAGGTCATTCATCTCAAATGACACCAAGTTAAGTGGTGCAGCTGTTACTCCTGAGGGAAGGGATGCCATCCAGAGGGATCTTGACAGCCTTGCAGAGTGGGCCCTTGCAAACCTCAGCAAGTTCAGCATGGGAAGGTGCAAGGTCCCACACCTGGGTCAGGGTAATCACCAGTATCAGTACAGGATGAGGGATGAAGGCATTGGGAGCAGCCCTAAGGAGAAGGATTTGGGGGTGCTGGTGGATGAAAAATTGAACGTGACCCGGCAATGTGTTCTTGCAGCCCAGAATGTCAACTGTATGCTGGGCTGAATCAAAGGAGGTGTGGCCAGCTTGCCTCACCCTGGGAGACATTTCTCCCCCTTTACTCTGCTCCTGTGAGACCCCCCTGGAGTGGTGAGACACTGGAACAGGTTGCTCAGAGAAGCAGGGGATGCCCCATCCCTAGAAGTGTTTGAGGCCAGGTTGGATGGGCTTTGAGCAGCCTGGTGTGGTGGAAAGTGTCCCTGCCCATAGCAGGAAATCATTCTGTGACTCTGAGATCTCTATAAAAAGTACTTAACTCCAGCAACTCTGTTATACTGAACAGGATCATTACATGATAATGCAGGCAGTCAATAAGGGAACTCTTCAAAGAAGGTACATCTATTTAATCAACAGCAGCAGAGACATACTCTTCAGCATGACCTGCATTACCAATGTATTGATTTAAATAATTATAAAGTCCAGCTATCACTCTTCCAAATCTCTTGCATGTGTACTTCTTAATTAGGATCCTGCAACTAATTTATTTTCCATAGTGAAAAATCAAGCATGCCCTTGTATTATTTTGGCAGAGGTAGAAAGTACTGTATCTCCAGTCTTATCTGAGAGCGTGAGTCTAGAGTGAAAAAGATCTTAGCTACAGTGAAAGCTGGATAATGCTCACATAAATATGCTGAAGAACAAAGAACAATCATATTCCACCATAACTGGCCCCTCTACTCAGTTATGTGTTGGAATTCTAGGGGGAATCACAGATTTGTAGCAGGAGCTCTGGAAACCACAGCTGGTGACAGACATGTAAGGGAGCCCTCAGCTGCTATGCCCAGTGCTTCCAGGGGGATGGTAGCAGGCTCAAGGACTCCTCCATGCCCCAAGGAATGTCTGCAATTATGCTCAGTCCTGCTGAGGGAAGGGAAGGAAGTTCAACATCAGTGAAGTTGTTCCTAATGTTGTTCCTTGAGTATGTATGTGAGAGTCAGCTGTGGTCTTGTCCAAATGACAACTAGTGCAGAAGTGAAACTTTAATCTCATTGCTCAGGAATTTAAAACTGGAACCAAAATCAGTAAGGGTTTTACTTTTTCTTTTTCTTTTTTTTGTCTTTTTTTTTTTTTTTTTTTTTACTGTCCACAAGTAACTATGAAATATTTCTTTTCTTCCAAAGAAAAATACCCCAAGAAAGTTTTTAAGAGGCTGCTTGGGAGTCATAAAAATTTTTTATCTCAGTTCATGTCAGGC